AGCCAGACAGACATACAGACAGCCAGACTGACAGATAGACAGACAAATAACCAGACAGACAGGCAAACAGACAGACAAACAAACACTCGCCCCCAGTGTAGGCCTTCTAATCACTCACCCGCCGGTGACGGACTCAGCAAAAGTGATGCCCTTCTTGCCGCTTGCTGCCTCTAGCTCGGCCTTGGTGTGTTTCATGATGGACTTGAGCTGGCCAGTGCGCCGGTCCAGGGAGCCGTAGCTCATCATCTCCTGCTCCTGCTGCTGCTGCTCACTGCTGCTGCCTCCTACCCCAGAGCTGCTGCCGACTGTGGAGATGGTGGTCTCGCTGTAGCTCATGCTGCTGCTGCCAACACCACCACTGCTGCTGCTGAAAGATCCGCTGAGAGCGGATGCATCTCTTTCCGAGGAGATGAGGTTCGAATCTGTACCACTAGCTTGGCGACTGCTAGAGGAAAAGGAAGACGATAATGCGGAAGAAGAGGAGGAGGAGGAGGTGGAGGATGAGGAGAGAGAAGTCATCTGCGAGCTTGCGGGAGCTTCCACAGAAGACGATGCGGTGCGGCTGCCGCTTTCCGATTCTTGGAGTCGCGTGGAGGACACGGGTTTACCGTCCTCTGTCTCGGTGACCGTGGTGCTGGTTTTCCCGCCGGGCCCTTCTACGGTCTTGGTCTCCTGCACGTGCACCTTGTCCCCAGACCGGGTCGTGCGCTTGGTCGTCACCGTCTTGGAGACTTTCATCGATTTCATACTCCTAGCTTTGTCCGAGGACGGGGCAGCGGATGAAGACGAGGTGGAGGAGGACGAGGACTTCTCTGAAAAGCGCTGGAGTAAATCCTCCCCAAAGCCAGAGTCCTTGGAGGTGCTGGGGTCAATGGACATGTACTTGCGGATGTCGTCCGGCATAAAGTCCTCCACCGAGCCTGCTCTTCTCATATCATAGATGGTCTCCATAGACTGAACCGCCTCGGAGCGCGACATGTTTTTCTTATTTTCTTTATACAAGTTACCCTCACTGGAAGTTTTCGACATGAGGCGAGAGGAGGAGGAGGATGAGGAGGAGGAGCCTCCGTCGAGGGAGTCTGACCCGCTGACCAATGAGGAGGCGGCTGCCAGGTTCTCCACTGTGCGGTACGGGTTGGTCACTACCGTGCTGTAGCTTTTCTCAACACGCGTGCTGCTCACATCACCCCCGGACACGACCGAAGAGGAAGAAGAGGAGATTTGCTGCTGACCACCACCGACACCTCCACTGACACCTCCACTGACACCTCCACTGACACCTCCACTGACACCACCACTGACACCTCCGCTGCTGCTACTGTAGCCTGAGGAAGACATAGAGGTCTGCTGGAAGCCTCCACTGCCCACGCCAGAGTCCCCAGACAACAAAGATGAGGAAATTTGCTGCTGACCTCCACCGACACCTCGGCTGCTGCTGCTGTAGCTTGATGAAGACATAGAGGTCTGGTAGCCTCCAGTACTTTCTCTCACGCTCGAGTCCCCAGACAACAATGAGGAGGAGGAGATTTGCTGACCGCTCGTAAGTCCACTCGCGAGGTTGCTCCCACCACTACTGTAACCGGAATAAGATGTGGTGGAGGAGGAGGTCTGATAGCCTCCAGCATCCCCCGCAGTGCCAGTGACACCCCCAGAGACACCCCCAGACACACTACCGTACGTCAGGCTGCCCCCTCCTGCAGAGCCGTTGTAGGACCTGCTGTCATAGGAGGAGGAGGAGGAGCTCTGAGACTGAGATAACGACGACGACCACATGCCATCTGTACCGCTGCTTCCTCCTCCTCCTCCTTCTCCTCCTCCAACGACATTGCCGTCGCTGAACTGTTGCACAGTCCGATTTGTGCCGCCGGAGGTCGTGGAGCGGGTGCGCTCTTTTGAGATGAGCTTCTTCCCCTCGTCTGTGATGATGTAGTGCTCCACGACCGTCTCTGAAAAGCCTTCTTCGCCAACTTTGGTCGGGGTGGAGACTTGTGAGGTGCTGGTCTGGTCCGTCACGCTGGACCGGCTTGCTGTGCTCGCACCGTAGCTGCTGACCTTTTCTTGTGTGCTGGAGGTGGAGTAGGAGGAGGACGGGGCAGTCGAGCCACTCCGTAAGGACACCTCATAGGTCGAGTAGCGCGACCCGTCGTCGGATGACGAAGTGCGCTGCTGAGTAGAGGAGGAAGAGGAACCGGACTGGGCAAGGAATGCATTCGCCTGGCTCGCTCCTCTCTGAACAATCTTCTCTTCTGTTGTGAGTGTCGTCGTCACAGGCTCAATAATCTCTACAGTTTCACTGAACATGTACGGGTCTTCGACAAGACCATCCCCAACACCTATGTCAACCATCAGGACTTTCTTCGGCACCGATTTCACTTCGGTCGTTGTAATCACCGTCTTCTGCTCCTCCTCTTTACGGAAAAGGTCAGTGACTTTCTCAGTGGTGTTGACACCACGTGTACATCTGTTTGACATCTGTGGCGACACCGGTGGAGTAGGTAGCTATCTTCTGTGTGTTGCTGGCCGCATGTCTCAGCTGGTCCATCGCCAGGAACATCTTCACCTCCGTCTGGTTGTTGGCTTGGCGGGTGTGGGTCACTTCCGTGTTTGTCGCAGCAAAAGAGCACCTCTGCTTGTCCGTCATGGACGCCTTATGATACTTGTCAACCGGCGCAGTGTTTGTGCCCACATCCATTGCCCAACCCTTCTCGGTGCTGACACACTTGTGACCAGTCTCAGGCTTAGCAGAAATGTAGACATTCTTTCTCACCACAGGCATACGAATCTCAACATCCGTTCTGTGTTCTTCATCTCCACAGCCCACACTGATGCCTGTTTTCAGATCCATGTAGGTTCCGCAGTCAACAGTGGGGACCTTGAAGTTGCAGTTCGTGGCCACGCTGCGGACATTTCTCTGCAGGACACCGCGGAGAGCCATCCTGAGCTCCGTCTCACCCTTGAAGTCCAGAGAGGTGTGCACACCGCTGGTGTCATAGTTCACATTCACTCCGATCGTGCGGGTCTCAGGCTTCTCCTCATCACACATGAACGACACGCCCACATCGCGTGTGGGTACCCGGCACTCAATCCCAACATTCCTCTTCGCTACCTTGTCGTTCTGTCCAATAAACACCGTTCTGAACTCCTTCTCGTGCACATGTAATCCAGATCCTTCAAACACATTTCCGTCTCCGATCCCCACAGACCTGGTGAGAGCTTTAGGAGCGTTTCTTTGGATCTGCTTGATGGTGAAATGTGGCTGCTGGCTGGATTCCGACACCATGCTGCTGGAGAAACGAGACTCCCGCTCTTCCAGCGACGACGGTTGCTGGAACGAGAGATTCAAGGAAGGTATCCGGTTGCGGTAGCTCTCCTGCTCCATCATCGAGGTGGACCGGAGCTCGGTGACCGTCTCGTTCTCCCACAGAACGTAGCCCGTGGGGAGACTGGGCTGAAGGAGGTACGGCTCCACAACACTGTGGTCGCCCACGCCAACAGACACGGTCCTCACGGGTTTGGGGAGGGTCGCGGGCGGCGTGCGCTGATTCTGAGAGAAGTTTCTCTCGAACTGGGAGTAGCTGGAGAATTCTGAGGTCCTGTCTGACCAGTCCACTCGGTCAGTGTTCAGACCCACGGTACGAGTCATCGGTTTGCTGTTCGCTTTGTGGGCCTTCAACTGCAGGTTCAGCAGACGTTTTTCTTCCTTCAGCACCGAAATACGAACCTGAAAAAGACAAAAGAATGTAAGGAACAGTGTGAGTGTCACTAACTTAGTTTTAGTAGAGGTTTTACGGCGCTCGCAACTGCATAAGGTCATATATGTGCCAGAAGATTGGAGGTGTTACGAGAGAGTAACAAACATAAAAAAGAAGAAGGGGAGATAAGGACGATGGATGTTTTCACTGACTTAACATACATGAGAAGTGTGATTGAGTAATAATTATATAGAACTAAGAATACATTATTTTACATCTAACAAATTTAAACAGGTAGCTCAAGTAAATTAACTGCCCCCCCGACCCGATACCATGATCAATAAATATAGAAGTATAACTAAATATACACTTACACACACAGGGAGAGAGAGA